GAATCCAATTAAAGCAATTAACCATATATCTGTTTCGAAAAATTAAAAACATACATTTTTATCACGTATTTTTTTCAATAAAAAGTCTCTCTTAGGTATCCTATAAGTTAAAAAGAAACAATGAGCGTAAAATTTTAAAAAAATACAACTTTTGATTTCTATTTATTAGTCTTATTTTTTCCCAAAAACTACTTCAGAGGAGGAATATTTAATTAATAATTACTGCTGTTTTCCATTAATAATTATTTTTTTGTTAATGGCTAGGTTTCATCAACGAAATAAAATCCAACAAGATTCGTAAAAAGGGGTTGAGGTTATACAGTCCCGCAACACTTCAACGCAAACCAGAACTGTATAGCCATGGAACGCCTTCGGGTTCTAATAATAAGTTTGTCTTTAAACAAAATTTTGAGTTTTGTAAGGGTCAAATGTTTTTTCCGCTTAAATTGGATATTTAAGGGATTCCTAATTTCCAAAATAATATAGGTAAGCAACATTTATTTTAGGTTAAAAATGTATCATCTTGTCTAACTTTATAGAAAAACATTTTTGTTCCCAGATCCCGATTAAGCTCTTCAATCTTATCAGTATAAGTTTTCATTTTTATTCAAGATTTTTCCTTCAATTATGTCCCGGCGCAACCCATTATACCCTCCTACATTATTATATACTGATTCCTCGCATTTAAAGAAACAGAACATCAGGGCAAATCAGATTATTATATTATATTACATACAAATTGAATATTTAATAGTTGGCCGTTGCATTATAAAGGAAGGAGATGGTCCGGGATGGCGGTCATAAGTTGGCTAAATAGTGGTAAAACTATTTTATTAAAAGCTAACTTTTTTTTTTCTTTTTTGTTTATTTAGTATTACAACAATCTGTCTCTTGGACATTAGTTATTGTGAGGTAGGATAACATTCACACAATATATACAAAACATATAAAATAAATAGAAGCAAAATAATAATCAGAAGTATATACAATAAATAATATAATAAAATAAACTAAAAAAATAAGAAAATTAAAACTAAGCAAAAAACACATATACATTAAATTGGCTTTTATTAAAACAATAAAATAGTTTCACACTATTTAACCTACCGCCAGCCCGGCCCATCTCCTTCCTTTATATTACATACAAGTTTAATAATATGCATTATTATTTCAAGCTAAAAGAAAATTGCATTATTAGTAATTTAATGAACAAGAAGATTTTTTCCTTATTTTCATCCGATTGCTCACTTCATATTCCGTTTATCACAATCTCTCTCAATCCAAATCGAGTTGTATGGAGTTATTCGAAATTAAAAATGGTGGTTTCTCCATGAATTTGTTTTATGACAGAAGATAATATTGTAGATTGAAACTGTTCATTGTCAATGATCTTGTCGAACTGTTTAATTTTGAATATCCAAACATTGTGTTGTGATTGTATGTTTACTGTCTTTTGTATTTTATTTATATTATACTGTGTTATATTGAATTGTTCTATGATATTGTATATTCTGAAGGTTGCAGGTCTTTGATGTTTTTTGAAGACATTTTTTTTTATATTAACCTTTTTTTGAGGTATAATACATTTTACCACACTTAAGGTTAAAGAGTATTAAAGATGTAAGGCACATTCATACCATACTTACGATATAATAAAATAAAATAAAAAATTAAATGCATAAAAATAGATATATAAAAGATAATGATGAAACAAAGAAATATAGCTTGTAATGAAATAATACAGAAAATTTTTAAGGGAAAAAAATTAAATAAATTTATATTAATAATAATAATAATAAGGCTTAGCGAACCCGAAGGTTCGATGCCGACACCACCAATCGCTTGTTACACACCTCCCTCCACCGTTCGCCGTCCAAACCCAGTCCCTTCAGATCGGCTTTAATGCAATCTTCCCACCTTCGCTTCGGTCTACCCCTCGGACGCTTACCATTCGGCACAGCAAATATTAACCTTTTAGGAATTCTCTCGTTACTAAGCCCAACAACTTTACAAGCCCATTTGATTCGCCGCGATGAAATTACCTCAATTATATTACCCGGATACAGCTCACGCAATTCGGCGTTGTGTAACCGTCTGAACTCTCCGGTTAACTCATCCTTCTTCGGTCCGAATATTCTACGCAATACTTTATTTTCAAAAACCTTAAGACGCTGCTCATCCCTTAATGTAAGCGGCCAAGTTTCGCATCCATAAAGAACTGTAGGCAAGATAATTGTTTTATAGATTCTAATTTTTAAGTTTCGGGACAAGAGGCGCGAACTAAGTAGTTTTGTCACAGAAAAATAACAAGCATTCCCGCCTTCAGTCTAACCTTAATCTCTTCTTCAATTTCGTTTTTTCTAGTTACCGTAGAACCTAGATACCTAAATTTATCTACCTGTTCAAACATATTACCATCTATATCGATATCACCAGTAGTATCGCCATTTTTGCAGCTAACCATATATTTTGTTTTATCCACGTTTATTTCGAGTCCTAGTTCTTTACCGGCTTTCATTAACGTTGTCGTATTTAGTTTTATAGTTTCAACGTCTTCGCTTAACAGTACCAGATCATCAGCATAGCCCAGCACGGATGTTGTCCCGCCCAGATCCAACCATTTCTCGGTTCGCATTACCTCCCTAATGGCATGTTCTAATGCCAAATTGAACAGGACAGGCGAAAGAGAATCCCCCTGTTTTAAGCCCGAACGAACCTCAAATTTTTCGGACAAATTATTACCGATTCTAACTTTATTGAGTGTCTCCGTCAAGCACATCCTGACTAGATTTACTAGTTTTTTTGGAATCCCCTGCTCGATTAGAATATTATACAGTTTCTGGCGGTCAATAGAATCGTAAGCCTTTTTAAAATCTATATACAGCTGGTGAACAATACCGTTATACTCCAATTTTTTCTCTAATATTTGCCGTAAAGAAAATATTTGATCAATAGTCGAACGATTCCGTCTAAATCCGCATTGGTAGTCTCCGATAATTTCCTCGGCGTATTCCGTGATTCGACTGGTTAAGATTGAAGTGAATATTTTATAACATACCGGAAGGAGTGAAATTCCTCGATAGTTATTACAATCCGTCCTCGGACCCTTTTTGTGAATCGGAATAAGAATAGATTCTTTCCATTCTTCAGGTAATTTCTCGTTCACCCAGATCTTTTTAACCAACCGATGTATTTTAGAAACTCCAGCTTCTCCGCATGCCTTAATTAGTTCAGTAGGAATATTATCGATTCCCGCTGCTTTATATGATTTTAATTTTCCGATAGCTACTTCAACTTCCTCTTTACTTGGTCCTTCTATTAACGGTTCAGCACTCTGGTACTCAGAAGGAGGACACAGATCATAATTTCCCGTATTTAAAATATTGTCAAAGTGGTCCTTAAACTTATTCAATATGTCAACCGGATCGGTCAGAATATTGTTATTATCATCCCTAATTCCAGACGTTACGGGCCCTACATATTTACGTGATCTGTTTATACCTTTGTACATGTCTCTTACGTTATTTTCGATTCTATTAGTTTCTATTTCAATTATTTTATTTTTAAGATACTCCCTTTTTTATTTTTGAGCAATTTTGTCGTTTCGTTCTTTGAGATTCGGAAGTATTCCAGATTGTCTTCGCTAGGATTATTTAGAGCTTTTAATTTAGCGGCTTTTCTTTTTTCGCACATGTTAAATAAATTTATATTAATGATAATAAATTATAAGAAATGAGTAAAGAAAAAAAATACAAACGAAAACAAAACTAACAGTCGTACTTATTCAAGGGAGCTCCAGTCCAGCCCTCTCCTCCACGTGCAAAGGACAAGACTTAGGATCAAAGATATCCCAGCGCTTCTCTCTCAGCCGCGTCACCGGTATTAGAGCCCAGTAGAGAGCACTACAGCCACAGACGATCATGACTTAAATGGAGAAGCTGGCCAGTGCCAGAACTGCAATGACATATTTACAAAAGATCTCGAGGCCACTGCCGTTTCAACCTTCGAGGAGTATGGATGACTGGAACTGAATAAGTATTGTGCTGAGGGATTAGGGTGGTGGATTTGAGAGTGAAAATTCGATAGTCGGGATGGAATAACGTCAAGGACATAAGGGATGTTAAGGTCATGATGTAAGGTATTGTTCGTAACATAATAAGGAGCATTGAATCTTATACGGAGGACTTTAAAATGGAAGGATTGGATGTGTTTGATGTTCGGAAATTTATTTCTTCCCTAAGTTCAATTCTGTAGATCCAGGTGGGTTTGAAGTTATTAACATAGCAAACTAATAACTTGATCTTTTTCATGATGGTTCTTAAAAGTTCGTTATTCATCTATCATGGTCATTTTAATTTTCTGTATTTATATAAAAATACTGATTCATTCAGCTAGGACCACTGAAACATCACCTGATATAGTTTACAAAAACATAAAAGAAATTAAAGAAAAAATGGTCATTCCATTAATTAAGATTAACCCTGAATCAGCTACTGGTATTGCTGACCATAATCTTTCAAGAACATAATTTTTTTTTCAGGAAATTATTGTAAATTCAATGTCGAATATTTATGATTATATATTTTTTATAATTTATCTATATGACATTGAAATTTATAATACTAATCTAAAAATATTATAATTACAAATATATTAGGCAGTATAGCTTCTCGCATGGAAAAGTCCCCCTCGAGTTTCAAGTATCGAAGAAGAACCCCACGGTCATCCAAAGTCCCTAGCCCATAAAAGTGAAGAGCTCTCGAAAGACACTGACGATGACAGGAGCCGGGGTTAGATTTGTGGTCTAAGTGGGTCAGATCCGAAGACCCGCCTAGTAATCCGAAATCTGCTAGCTCTAGATCGGCCTTATAGAGCGGCTCCCGTTAGGGCTTTACGTGTCCTGTCTCCTATGGTGGTCGCTGTCATGTAGCCCTTTAATGGCCTTCTAAATAAAACATGGCGTGTGACAGGGGTCTTAGCTCAGCTATATATTACCGTAAATGGTCCTCGGATCAGAAGCGAGCCGTCTCGTGGAGGAGGCATCTAGGGCACCGCACAGCTCTTCTACTCACACTTTTTCTGCAGTGGATATATCGAAAATAATCCTTCAATAAACCCTTCAATAAGTATTAAATATAGGGTTTGATAGTGCTTAAATTATCTAGATACAGACTCCCTTTATCAATTCTTTTTTAATTTGTTTATTTTGAAATATTACATTCTGTCACAATCAAGGACATGTGTTCAGAGAGTGTATAATAGTGTTCAGAGATCACACTCACACTCTACAATAAATAATACAGAAACTAATAATAATAAAAATAAATGTATATAAACAAAAGAATTAACCTAATCGAAATAACAACTAAAACACATGCATACTATGCAATATTTACAGAATCCATTCACTCGGAAGATCTCCTAGCCAATCCTTTCACCCCCTTCGTGGAAGGAAAGGCAGGACTCTAGGAGATCCCAGGGCCTCGCACTGAGACGCATTACTGGTATTAAGAACTAGTAGGCTGAGAAGAGGCGCTATAATCACACATATTAAAATTCATATAAAACTTCGCGAATAGCTTCTTCTCATCGAAACCCACAACTTCTTTATTTATGAAAATTCATAGAAAAGGAGACGTTTTCTTATTAAATTAATTATCTCCAAATACTGAAAACCCACAAATAGCCATTTCCTTATCTTTTGAATATTAAGATATTTGGATAAAAAAATCGAGAGAAAAGTGGTCTATGAAAATATTGGGCCGTTTGATCTATATAACCTCGTAATTTTGACAAGTTGGGGTGGAAGTCACGCCGAGCGGCCATTTTTTCACATGTTAGTGCCTCATTAAATTGGCATTTTTTACCGATCTCCAGATTGAAAAAAAATTGTAGATCACGATAAGATAAAGCCGTTCATGAACTGTTAGACGGATATTGATTATTTGATAAATAATAGGTACATACCACTGAGTATTTCCTACTCGATTAATAGACCAATTTATCGCCAAATAAAGAAAAAAATCTGATGCGGTGCGCGCATCATACAACTTCCACTTACCACCCTCTTCATAGCAGAAACAAATATTTTCAGAAAAAGGGGAAGTGAAAGTAAAAATTATAAACACTATACTGATTTATATTTCATTGTGGGTATTTTTATTTTTATAAGTACCCATACATATATAGAAATTTTAATATTTATATCGCTTTAATCTATACAATTAAATATAAATATAAAAAATACCAACAATAGCATCTATGAAAACCGCATATCCACATTTACATAATATTGTCGGAGTCCTTAATATATTAAGCTTATGTTACGTATGGAAGCCTGTTCTAATCTTTCGGGTGAGCTTGGTTGCTCTCATATTTCTTCTTTTATATTTTATATTTAACTGTATTTTATATTAGAGATAAATGTGAAATGGTCAATTGTTTCAAATAAAAATAATTATCGGTACTTTAGGGGGGAAACTAATATTGAAAATTAGACATCTAACGAAACCATTCAAATACATACTGAAGAAAAGATACGGCTCTATTAGCACAGGTAATATTTACTTTAATTTTTTTAAACAAATTTTGTACTATTTTTTTTTTTAGTTATATGTAATTTTTCCCCATATATTCCTGCCAATGAGCGGTCCAATGTAACCTTCCTTAGCTCTGTTATAAAAATATAAATATAAAAATGAAATCCTTAAAAAACGTCTCAAACTACTTTACTCATTTTTGTTCCAAATCTTTAAAACTGAAGACATGTACATACTTACTTAAACCCATATAGACTTACGCATCACAGATAACTGGTACCTCCAAATGACCAACATACAAAAAATTGTAACCTTCCAATCAAAATTATTATGACTCATAACAAAAGCACCTTGCTACGTCACTAACAAACCTCTGCATATCGATCTACAACTACTAATAGTTGATCAACCTGATTGCCATAATATAGTTGGAAGGTGTGAATAAATGTATAAAGAAAAAAAATATATGAAATCTTACTTAATGACTTTTTGCGATAAGTCCAATGACATAAGTTTATGTCAAACTTCGAATGAAGCCTAACTGTTTAATTGTGATTTAACAAAAAGAAAAGGAAAAGAAAGCGGACTGTATCTTGAAACATTTACGAAATTTAATACCGATAACATAAAAACAAAAGAAATCAATTTTACAACTTGTTAGATAGGTAAAATAAAATAACAAACTTCTAGCATAAAAAATAAAGACATGCTGAGTAATGGCAATAAACAACTGCGACAATATTTAATGAAATACTTCCATGCTTGACCATAAAAATAAAAAAAACTATTTATATGGGCAAAATTGCAATAAAAAACAAACTTCTCCAGAGTCCCAAAATAAAATTTATATAACAAATAATTAGGTTGTACAACGTTACGTGAACGATGCAGGACGTTCGTAATTATCTATCTCTATGCAGAGACCAAGTGTAGATTTTCAATGAGCGTGCTCTAAACGAGCTGCAAGTGGGCAGCGGCGAGGTGGCTTGAGTGAGAGAAGTACCTCTTCTTCTAAGGTGGACCGCAGTGGGCAGTACATCAGTTGGCAGGACTGAGCTCTATATCGGGCGGAGTCAGACTGTGTATTGCGAAGTCTGCGGGCTTAGGACTTGGACCTAGGACCTGTTTATAGCTAGGGCTAAAATCCATAACAAGTAGTCCAAGTATAAACTATTGATCTATTTAATATAAACAATATAAGCTATGGGCCTATAATATTTAATATACACATATCTTATACATAAATATACATATTATTAATTGATTTCACTTTGATGAAATAAACCAAATCAACAATTAATCAAACTATAGTTAAATGTAAAATAAAAATTAATTAATGCTGTGGCGTTGATAATTGTAAAAATAAAATAAATTAACGCTGTGGCGATAAAAATTATGTTATTTTTATATATAACGAATAAATACTTTAAAAGAAATATATTTGTTGAATAAGCTGTTAATATCACATCAGTTAATAGTTATTATTTCTAAGTACTTATATAACTCATGTTGAGAAGTCACAGCTTGAGAATGATATAACGTTACTGCTTTGAAAATAATGATGAAATATAACCCTCCAATATCAATATCTCATCAGAAAGGCGATGTGAAGTAGGACATTATCATCAGGGGATGGACTCTACTCGGGGATAGCACACGTGTCCCGAATGGGAAAAGTTGGAATGGAAGGCGGAATATAGAAAAAATGACCAGGAATAATTCAGGGAAAATCCTACCCTTTAGGCTTCGCCCTAGGGCCTATCTCAACCTTCCACAAAATTTCACTATAATAAATTTGTTTTCCTAATGTTATTTCTTATTCAACATATTTTCCAGTCATAAATTTTCAATAGTTTGGAATTTATCAAAGACTTAAATCAATTTAATGGCATTTAAATCGTAGTCAATAGATCTCCACGAAGATCGGGTTTTAATGTCGACTAAGGAAAGTCAAATTAATGGCCATTGGCATTATGAAAATTTAACAATAGTTAGATAGTGTTGTTAATTATAGGACTGACAGTAGAAATTTGAATAACTTTTATTCATAATTAATCAATAGGAAAACTCTGTATTTTATTCATTAATTAAGACAAACGCTCTAAACTGCCTATATGTTACAAAAGACTCATATAAATGACTATAATAAGGCCAATCTGGACTTGTGGAATTGAGCTCTGGGGCTCCACTAAACCATCAAATTCCTCTCGTATCCAATCCTTACAATCCAAATTCCTTCGTAAAGCAATGCTCCTTTCTTTGTCACAGATGGAATCATTCATAACGACCTTTGATCCTTCCATACGTATATCCTTCCATAATTCAATACGTATCTCCTTCCATAACAAACTTCAAAACCATCCGAATCCTCTCGTTTCAAACCTTGCTTCCTCTTCGATAGCTGATAATCCTGCATGGCGTCTGAAAAGAAAATGGCGTCGTGATCTACTTATGTAAATATATTCATTACAGTGCTACCAATAGGTAGTTTCTCAACAAGCGTTTTCATATATTATTACCTTGTGCACATTTTAAATTTATACAGTTGTAAATCTCATGAATAAATAAAAATAAATATTCATAAATTCATTAATTATAGAAAATTAATCTTTAAACCAGTCTCAAGTTTATTAAAACACTTCAAAAAGTTTTCGGTGTTCGGCACTATAGTCATTTATTTTAATATATATATATCCATCCATCTGAATGCCATTTTTCAGAATTTCAAGGATGGTATGACCTGAAATGGACGAATAGGTTCCTCTCTCCTTCAACAATCTATTTGTAAAAGAATACGACAATCTATGATTTTTTTTCTCTCTCTTCATATACCTTTCATAATCTTGACAGTAAGCAGCTGTGATCTCATTGTAAAGAAAATTGGCATTTTAGGTATGAGGAAGATTAGTACCCAGCAGCACCTCTTCCTGGTCTTGGTATACTTCATAATTTAGGAAAGCAGATCTCTCATCCAGCTCCTCTTTAATCGTCTCCTGATGGGCATGTCAGCTGTAGTTGATAAGTCCGTTGTGATGTCCGTGTAGTTTAAGATGAAATCGGGAGTAGAGAGTACGTATTTATTGGTCGATAGTCGGTTGTTGCAAGTCGATACGTAAAATTTTGTTGTTTACTTACTAGAGACTGCTGTAATTATAAAAAAAGGTATTAATCTGAAAGAAAAACGACATCGACGTGGATGAGTATTCTTATATACTCGTAGATTAATTTAAATCATGGGTCTACATTTACTTCCTGGTCGACATATCAATCTACACTGCTCATCTCAATGGTCCAATAATATAAAATAATTATAGTATTATTGTCAACCTTAAATACAGTAATTATTTCAAACTAGTACTGTGAAACGAGCCATTATCCGGTTCTTTTTAGTGAGAAATGACAAATACATTGTAAAATTATACAGGTCTTAAAGGAATAGTTTGAAGATCATTTATTATATAATAATTGTTTTCTTCTGTTTATTATTCCTAAAATTGGTGTATTGAGGTTTTATTTGTTATATAAATTACGCCATTATTCACCAACATTTTATTTATTAGCTATTTTATAACGACGTTTCGACCATCACTAGGGCTATTTTCAAGTCTTATTGAGTCCTCCATTAGATATTCATTATTAATGTCGTGTTCATTTGTTCAGAGAAAAATTAAATTGTCCTGCTATTTAAGAGTTTTGCTTACGCCAGTCCCTCCAGAAATGATGTAGGAAAAACTCTTAAATAGCAGTACAATTTAATTTTTCTCTGAACAATTTAATACGACATTAATAATTAATATCTAATGGAGGACTCGTTAAGACTTTAAAATGGCCCTAGTGATGGTCGAAACCTCGTAATAAAATAGCTAATAAATAAAATGTTGGTGAATAACGGCCTAATTTATATAACAAATATAATAATTGTATTTTTCCAATTTGGGAGAAATTTTTGAATAATATCTATCGAAAATAATACATTTTAAAACTATAAAGGTTGGGAATCTCAGAACCAAGATTGTTCTTCCGATTGTTGAGGGAAAATCAATGTCCCGATAGATCCCACCACCAATAATAAAAAAAAAAGAAAATCCGGGAAACGTTATTTTGAACCTATCACTACTAACTAAATTTCATCTATCTTGTTGAAAAATATGTATGTGTCCTTAATTACAAAGTATTGCTAGATATGTTCATTTTCTATGAATTTTTTGTAGAAATTTTATGTAGATATGTTCATGTACTCTTAAATACTTTTTTTATATTATTATTTTTTTCTTTATTAATTATATACATGTAAATTCCGATTAATATCACAGATATATTTTTTAAATATTTGCTAAGCGATATATGTTATAAGCGACCATTTAATTTATATTTTTTTTCTCAAATTAAAAATTAAATTCCCAAAGGAAAAATTAAATAATTCAGCAGTCTAAATAATTTAACTCGACTGTTTACCTTTTACGTTTGCTTTTATTATTTATTTCTGATACAGGAGCAGGTGAAATGTGTACAAAGGCCATTGTTTTTGAAAATTACATATTCCATTAAAAAGGAAATTTTCACCTCGAGAGATATAATGAGAGAAGTAATTTATGTTGTTTATTCTGTACTTCGTTATCCGCTGTTTAATCCCAGCTGCTGTATGGCTTTTCACCTTACATTATGGGCTTGAATATTGTTTCCTTTTGATTTTTTTTTTTTTTTTTTTTTTTTGTAAAATGTTTATGAAAAATATTGTATTATTAATAAGACAGCTGATACGAAAAGTTGAGTATCTATCTCGACTCTCAAAATTTGCTAATTTTTCAGCGTAATCTCTGAGATTATTCATTTAAACCAGGTCAAGGGTACATAAGAACAATTGGTCTTACTGATTTACTGTGTACAGTTATAAATTGTTATTTTTTATTTATTTTTTTATTTTATGCGATGCATCCTTATCCTCTCTGTAATAGGTTATAATTCAAAATTACACCTTAACATGTCGCCGTGTCAGGGTGGCGAAAAGGAAAAATAGTGTTGAAAACCAAATGCTAACGAGTTTAGTTGAACACATGGATTGAAATATCTCAGAAACTAAAAATTGGACCTGCATACCATAAGCGAGGGAATTTTTCAGCACTTGATCCTCTTTATAACGAGCTATTATATATAATATATATTGCATATTATTAACCTCCCCTTATAGGTGTTATGTGTTCACTTCTATCGTGCGGTCACACACATTAGGTTTTTTTAAATGAAATTTCTGTGTAACCTTTAATTCAAAAGTTGTAAGGGAAATAGTTCTAGTTCCAAAAAAAAAAAATAGACAGTGAAAATTCCAATGATACGGAAACTTTTTAAAAATAATTTTTTTTTTCGTTTTCATCCCTTGTTCTAAGCTTTGAGTTCATATTTTACTGCAGAACCAATCTTATTTCTTTTTTTTTTTTTTTTTAAATTACTATATAGTTTCACCTCAATTGAAGCAATCGAGATTAATATCTATAATTCTTTTAAAAAAATAAATAGAAAATATTCTTAAGCTAGCAAATATAAATGTAATATTAATAAAATTTAATAAAAATTTTTTAAAATTTGTATACAACTATTGGGAAATAATAAACCATCACATGATAATTTACAGCGTGTTTTCTTATCTTAACAGTTTAATTCCCTTTTTTATTTGAGCATTATTAATAAGTTTAAATGTTATTAACAATTTATTTCCACATTACAGAAAAACCGAGACCAACAACTACTGTCGCTACAACACTGGCCACCACAACCACAACCAAGCCAACCACCACAACGGAACCCACAACAAGAGGTATGTGTTCCCAATCGTAGCAAATTTAAATTAAAGTTAGAATAATATATTTTAATTATTTCAAGGTATTTTCTGATTTATATCCATTTTTCTCAGTTTTGTTTTACTTTTCTTAAGAAAAAAGTATCATGTGGAAGACCACAGGAGGTAAGAACCTCCCTATAATTATTGTCCAAGTGATAGAATATTAATAGGGTTTATAAAAAAATGACCGTTTTTCAGCCAAATATTTGTAATATTATTTCTTTGATACAAAATAAAATTAATACTCAAAGTATAGTACATTGTTATCTACCTTCATTAGCCATCTGCTAGCCAATTGCTCTGTTCCACGCTGATACCATTGTTTGGGATGGCTGTCAAAGAACGCTTGGACCTCAATTTCAACTTCCGCAAAATTATCAATTTTTTTTTCCTTTAAGGAAAAGGGGTCGAGGATCTACAGAAGTAGTGGTCCGATGGTGCGAGGTCTGGACTATATGGTGGATGTGGCAGGAGTTGTTCAGGAAACAGTTTTTTAATAAATTTTCACAAATTTCTAACCTCTTAGCTACTTGCTGAGAAGTGAGTTCGTGAGGGACCTGTCTACTGCTCTTTTCACCTTCCTCATGGAGAGTAGATGGCGAATAACAATATCTTTCGACACACTTTCGCTTGGACTTGTGGACGAATTTGTCTTAACAGCTTCTTGGAGAACCTCATGAATATCCATTAATTGTCGTCTGGAGCCCTTCTTTCTTTCCAACGTCGTATCTCCACTGTTAATTTTTACAAAACAACGCCGCGCAGTGCGCTGATCAAGGACACCTTCCCCTTAATATTTAGTAATTTCACGAGTTGCTTCAGCGACTGTGGAATTTTGTTTCCAGTAATGTCTTAAAATTACGAGAATTTCGTAGGAGTCTGTCATGTTTCTGTTTTGAACTAAGGTTGTATTTGAATAAGTCCAACGGAATTAACCAAGATTAGAGAATGCTCTTAAGCGATTAATAAGTATTGGTAAGTATTAAAAAAGATTTAAATATTTACAATCCTTTGAAATGTTGAATTTGATAAAACGGTCATTTTTTTTATAAACCCTATTGTATTCCTCAATAAATAAATAAAAAATATTAATGACTCCAACTCCAATGTGGATTAAAATAAGTAGGATGTTGCATTCTCCGGTGCCAAAAATATAAAGAGAAATTGACATTAAGTTATATTTTAGAAAAATATCTATTTTACATAAAAGAATTTGGGATACAATCGAGATATCAGCAACCTTGCGTAACGAGAAGGAAAAACTGATCAACTTCCTATACAAAGAAAATTTTATTAAATATATTTAAGATTTGCTACAAACAACATCACTCGGCCGATCCTATATTTATCACTATCAGTCGATTTCTGTTATTTTTTAAGTAATTCTATTATACTTCTTATTATACTTTTGTTTTACTGAACACCCCAACTAAACTTCTCTTCAATTAATCAGTACAGTCAACCATCAATCGACAATATAAGAAATGATGTTTCAGTGATTCTTTAAGTTCTATTAAATGTAATTAGAAGAACAATAATACTTTTAAAGATATTTGTGTATATGTTTTCCATAAAACATTTTAACATTTTTGGGGATGAGGAGGGATGCTTCAGACCGAAAGCCACACCCCGCCGTACATCCATTCGCCTGAGCCTCAGCTTGATATCCAATTGGTTCTCCTAAGGAATTTATTAGAATAATTCTGATAAAATCCTTTGTTACAATTTTTTTTTACAATTTACAATTTTAGTTTACAACTGTAATAAATAAAAAATATAATAGAATATACTTCTTATATATATACATACATATACTTTTTACTTTTTTTTTCCTCTCCTATAAATTATTTACCAATTTCATATTGTGTGTTTTTATCTAATGCCATCACTCGATTCTTTTAATTTAATTCCATTCTTCTAGTCATTTTTATTACCTTCTTACTATTATCATTCTAAACCAGTTATTCAATGTTTCAAAATACATTAGGGGTTCATGACTAACAGGTTTTATGCCTTAATCTCTCAATAGCTAACTCAAGTCGTCGCATGACGACGAAGCATGGATCATATTAGCATAATATGTTTTGGCTGAATACTTTGATTGATATTAATAAAAACTGATAATTTCAAAGAAGATTCAAACCTTTTTTTCAACTTGGACCTGTTTATCATGTATTTTATTGATAACTCAGCGCCTACTTTAGAAAATAGTGCACAGGAGTCCCACACAAATATTAAATTACATCTTGCGAAAGGACCTTGTCAAGAGATGTATTTGGGTATGTTATTTTGGAACAATATTATGTTACCGTATTATAGCCTTTTCGTCTTCTCCAAGACTCGGTTCTTTTTGGGATATTTTAACATAAGATTTCTTCAAGAGAAAACACTTATTGATCTTACCACGAAATTCAACCTATTTTACTTTCCCACTATCGTAGTTAGGGAGGCTTATAATTGATGAAAATGAGATATGAAGCGAAAAAGAATTTCGTCATATATCGATGAATTAAAACTTTCATGTATTTTGTAAAATCTGTCTGTTGTCCGGTTTCTATGATATTTTTAGAAATAGATCAGGTCAGAGAACAAGGAGGTTCCTTATCAATCAGACCAAATCCAACGCATGCGCAGACCATTTTTTGCTTGAACCAACGCCTATATTTCCAAAACGGCTAGTTCGAATCGGTCCAAAGTTGGCGACTAATGAGCAATCAATTTCTTCATTTTTTTCTGTTTCCAAGCCTTCTCTAAGTTGTCAGATTATATCTTTTTAATGTAAGTAGCAACCTAGTATATTTGAGAAGCACCTCTTTGAAAATAAGTATGTGTTACTCTATTTATTTAATTTCTATATAATTATATTTACTCATACATAATTATTATACAGCACCCAAAGTGGCAGTTGTGGAGTACGGGAGGCCGAACGGAAGGGTACATCTGGACTACAATGAGATACCGCACATCCCTGATCACAGGGAAGAAGCGGCCAGAGCAGGTAGCAATTTCATTATTTATTAATTATTTTTTAATATTTTTTCAGCCCGTTTTATTATTAATTTCTCAAACTACTCTGAGCATTAGATAACCAATACATTTTCAGATGTGTTCATTTAAAAATAAAACACTGCAAATTATTAAACAATGATTTATTATTTCCTAAACAATTATACATCTGATGTAACATTGCATTCCTGGTAACATAAATAAAAAAAAAAATAAAATTTGATTCCTATTATTGGCCTAAATATACTTTTTTCCATCGTTTCCAAAGAAAAATAGCATTGCTTCAGAAACACTTTAAAAAATAAATTAACATTTGTAGTAGAATATATGAAAAATATCTAAAACACCACATATCTTTACTCCAATTATCCGTTTTCTTTTTTCAGGAAAATTCCTAAACTTTTAAATAACCATATACAATATCAACAAAAATTTTTATACCTTTGGAGCCGTACAGAAATCTAATTTTACTACAGCTCATAACTTTTTTTCAGCTCCTTCTTGTTGAAGTATGTTACATAGATAAATTTAATGGACATAGGAAAGAAGACTTTAGCCAAGTTTTATTGATATCGCTATATTCGTTTAGGCGCATATCAAAGCAGGTTTTTCGGCCGCAATCTTGAAAGAAAAGGGCGGATAGTAATGTTGATGTAGGAGAATCATCTTCTGGTTACTTCTGATTTTGATTCCTTGGCGGACTGCGGACGGACCAAAAAATCTTTATTCGATTTTTGAGATTTGCTTATCCTCAAATTTTGAGGGAGAGGGTAGGTTTTTGAATTTTTGGGACGATATTGAAATTGAAAATAATAAACCAAAATCTAACTACTTCATCTTTCAACACAAATATTTACGATTTAATTCTTAGAAAATAAAAACTAGTTCATTATCGATTTATTAACTTTTATTAAGGACAATAATGAAGGAAATTCTATTTACATATATAGAAAAATTACATAATATATATTACATAAATAATTCAATACTATTCACCATTCTGCAAAAAGAAGAAGAGAGGAAATAATAAATTATAAATAATAATTATATTTATGATCATTATTTATTGGTAGTAATAATTTTTAAAAATTGTAAATAATTATTTAAAACATGACAGCATCCCAAAATTCTTTATTTATTCTTGGGTTTCTATTACATTAGTTTATTTGATGTCCACTTAAAAAATTTTTGTAGACCTCGATTTTCCAACGTTCTTTAAAATCATTCTTACATCTGTAAAGTTTACCATCGATGTTTACCAATTATATTAGTATTTTATATTTTATTATTAGCTTTGGTTTTATGAGAACTTAAACATTTCATTTAATAAGCATGATGTTTAAAAATTGAACGTCTAGAAAGTAAAATTTTACAAATAAGTGCTTAATAGATCCTTTTAAATTCATTAGATAAATGTTGATGATGATTTTAATTTTAAAAAATCCAATTACACAAACTTGTGTTTCTAAAATTCAGATAAAAAACCAACTAACCTGTCAAAGTTTCGCCGAAACAGGCTTCTTTATGGAAAATAAAATAGTATCAAATTATTCTATGACTTTCAAACGTATTTTCTACTACATCTTGATGTCTGACTTGGCGAAACGTTGAAGAGTTGATTTGTTTTTACAAGCAGTTTAGAAACACAATAAGGATTTTTTGGATTTCTTCAATTTTAATCTAACAGCTATATTTCTGTCCCTTGTTGAGTTTCTTATTCTTTTACATTAATTTATTAATAATTTATAATTTGCCGACGAATTTGTTGGAAGCCTATACGGCAGAACACCTAAAAATCTGAAAAGCAAGTATTTAGTATTCAATAATAATGGAAGCTTCTCAAACAATCTTGGAGAATGGGATTTGGCCCAAACTGAGCAATTTAAATATTTTAGGAAAGTTGGGAGAGGGAAGAAGCAACGGCAAAAAATATATTAATTAAAAGGATATCAGAGGTAGAAAGATCATATGGATTTAACATTCTGTTTTATGGAATAAGAATATGAAATTTCAAATGAAAAAGAAACTCTTCCATTCATTCCTTGAATGTACTGTGTCGTATGTCTTCGAAACTTCGACGATTTCAACAGATTTAGAAGAAAACCTGTGTCAATGGCTATAAATTTTTGTAGACGTAGTTGTAGAATATCTAAACTACAACACCTTCAAAATGACGCCATCAGGGAAAAAGTAAAAGAACTCCTTAACATTCTATACTCCATTGAGAATGAAAAATACTAAGTTGGTTTGGGTACATTACATAGGACGACCAATAAAACAAAAAAATGGCAGTATAGTTTATTAGGTAACGAAATATATTATGTTACAATAAAATCGTTTGTATATATATTATTTATTCAAATTTTATTTCTAGTTCATTGTTTTTTCTTAACCTTTACTACGAGGATCTATGCCAGTAACTTTTCACAATAGAAGCATTTAATGAAGTTCATTCCTTATTTAGGATTATATTTGCATGCAAGGCGTCAGGCTCCAACCCACATCTGGGCTTTCTTCCCGGTATCGTTACCGAACACCGTAAACTCAGTCTGCGGAACAATTTCTTGATGAGGGAGTTTTCAAACGGAATTCGTTAACGGAACTCACTGGCACAGAGTCCTATCCTTGGTCCGGAAGGAGGTCCGTAAAGAGTTTGTTGAAATAATCGAGAAGAGACTTTAAAGTTATTATGAGTAGAGCGGGTAGTGCATCTTGTTAGAGGATAATTTAATAATATTATTTGATAAAATAATATAAGATTATACCATAAATTCTTTTCTTTTTCTTTATTTTTCATTTAAGATTGATTTATTGTGTTATATGTGGACCATGCTATTCTGTTACCTTCTTCCATCTCTCAGAAAGCCACTTATACTCTTTTTTCCAAATTTTTTGAGACTTACATTCAAAATATTCATCGAGATGCGCTTTTCTTTCGCTTTCTGATTTTTGACAATTATCACGGAGAGAATTTTTAACGAAAAGAAACAGCTAATAATCGAATGGGGCAAGGTCTAGGAAGTATTGAGGATGAGGTAGAACGTCCCAATTCCGCATGTTGCGTTGTCCGTACAACAGAAACTCTTACAATTTGATTGGGCCTTTCTACTTCATACTTTGTACTCCTCAGACATTTCCCCATTCGGTTATTATTTGTTTCTTTCGCTAAAAAATTCTCTCCGTGATAAATGTAAAAAATCCGAAAGCGAAATAAAAGCGCATCTCGATGAATATTTTGAATGTCTCAACAAATTTAGAAAAAGGGTTTAGCAGACTTCACAGTTAATTAACCTTAAACAAAAAATATAGAAATAGGAAAGAACTTATTGGACAACCTGATACATAAGACAAAACTTTTAAATATACTTAATATTAAAGAATTACTTCGATTTGAACACTTTTAGTGATATAGCAACAAAGTAGTTTTTTTAACAAATAGTGAATTTCTTTTTTCTGTGATTTTGGCTATCTACTTAAAATCACTGTTTAGCATTATCGAATAATTTCAGTTTTCATTCGAATTATTTAATCAATACTTTTTTCTTCTATCATAATTTTGTTATTAATGATTTCTAGAATAAACAAATTATTGATTTTTTTATTATTTACCATTAGTTATTTTTGTCAGATTTTTTATTAATTTTTATCTATTCATTTAAGATATTTACAATTGTATTACAATATAAATACATCGAGTAAATGTGTACACAGGAATATAATCACATGAAAACGCTTGTTGAGAAACTACCCACTACTGGTAGCACCATAATTTTTCTTAATTACTGTTATATTTCGTAATTATACTATCGGAATTTATCTGGTTCTTTGAGGGTTCGAAACGTGCCTGCATACGTTAAATTATAAGAACGCCCTAAGATTTTTGAAAATATAGCATTGAACAAAATATTTTTACCAATGAAAAAAGAATCCAACGAAAAACTTTAAGCGAAAGTTAAAAGTTATAACTTTTCGTATTCGTTCGATATAAAGGTTCAATGTTATATTAATATTATATTATCGAAAGCCTAGTTTTATGATATACTATCGATTTTAAAATTTCGCAATCTTGAATAGAAGTAATTATAAAAATTAAAATAAATACACTATTGCGTAATCTTAGATCAATCAATAGAATTTTCAAAAATAGGCCTCTGATTACATAAAAACCATATATATAGAAAAAAATTAAAAATTAATCGACTCACTATTTTATTTTATAGGGGCATAATTTTTAAAACCAAAAAAAGAATTCTTTAATATATTTATGAAATAATTTATCGTTAAATAAATTTTTATTGATTAATGAATGAAGTTACGTAATCACTTTATTTTCCAATGAATAGTCAATAAATATTAACTATTTTTAAATATTGGAATACCATAATTTTTATTCATTATTATTTGAATAATATTTGCCCAACTATATTAATAATCGCTTGTTATATTAATTTAATGTGTATATAGTTTTCGATGTTACTATTTTAATGCAAATTAAACTTTGGTTATATTTTCTACTTTACTAAAATACAAAAAAAACTATTGAAAAACTATTGTGGTCATTTTTATGGATTTTTAAGGTACGCCGTAATTTATTTATTTTTTTTTTTTTTTTGATAACATTACTCCATTTTCTTCTTAGTTCGATTTTTTAACTATTTGTGAACCAAAATTATCTGTAGTATATAACAGTCATGGATTAAGTTACTAAACCTTAGGAAAGAAGAGATTATAGTGATAACAAAAGTAAGATAAAGAAATAGTGTAACGATTCCGCCTTAAGCCACTCCTAAGCCCCGACCTAAGCTGACAGACAACAGGCAAGGTTTCGGTCATATTTCGACTTAAATCATTCTGCATAAAGCGTGGTATATTTTCATCTCCCTTCAAGCTATGAAATACAAACCAAAGTTGTACAAAATAGCTTACATATATTATAAACAACGTTTCATTTAAAAGTTTTATTTTAAAAATTAAATTTCGAAATGATAATTACACGACTAATTTTGTGAATAAATTAACAATGTATGTAGTTCTGAGTCTTGTGTTATTTTATAAAGAACAAAATAAGTTATTAAAAAAACACATGGTATGTAATTAACAACAAAAATTTATTTTTCATAACCCCAATAGTAGAATACTATTGAATGAACTATGGACATTTGATAATTGTATGTGTTTTTTTTTTACTGTAACTGTGTTATATTTTAAGGCCTTATCGTAATTTTAAGTGATTATGTTTCGTTTAAAAAAAATAATTATTAAACTTGACAGTAAGGTGATGGGACAAAAAAAAAAAATCATTTAATTTCTCACGGGAAACAAATAAAAGAAGAAAAATAAATAAAATAATATAAAGCCTTAAACTTAATTATAATACAAACCTTAGTTTATTGGCAACGGAGGCAAGCAAGTATTTCTTTTTCGGCTCTATTATAGGCTTCACATATTAAATAAATTAAATCACTCTACTCTAATAACTAGAAGATTCAAAAATATTCAAGGATATCCAAGAAAATTCGATAGAAATCACGAAATATCCAAAAAGCAAAAAAATTAAATAAATAAATAATATAAAAGCACTATGATTAACATTTGAGAAATAAATTACTGTAACCACGCCATGGAGTAAAGGTCGCCACGTTATATTTTCATCATTCATGGAAATTCGGACAATCAAAGTCCGCGATCATGAAACAGGCCTTACCAGTGAGAGAAATCCACGTGAAACTTACGTAAAAAAAAAAATAGTTTACAGCTATTAACGCGAGAAATTAAGAGAGACATGACTATTTAGGAATAAAATAATTCATCTTGAGAGTTGTTCAACATCCTTCACAAAAGAAGCAGATCGAACAACAGACCAGGATCTAAGATAAATGACATAATTGAAACAGATGTTGTTCCATGGGTAATCTCTGTCTAGTCCAGGAAGCTAAATTCAAAGCATTTCCAATCCAACTAACAATGTTTTGTCTTTACACCAACGGTTAGGCAAGTCGATGATTTAACAAGGATCACACGCAATCGCCAGGTTTGGTTTTTTTTTTTTCACTAAAAGAAGCTAGGTATCAGTAATGATTCATAATTAAATTTTGGGGGGTGGTATTTTTTTCTTTTTTATAATGGTAATTTAGGGAAAAAGCTTCTTGATAGGTGTTTACATTTAGTACGTGAGTTAAATTCGTTGTTATTTAAAGCGGGGTATATTGTTATTGTTTAAGTATTTGGCTCATAGAAACAAATAAAGACCAATGAATAACTTTATTTTTGTATTTGGGGGGCTTCGGTCCGAAACACCTTCCCTTAAATCCACTTTTGTTTGGTGTGCCCCATCAAGTTATCTCGACTGATTGTCAGGATGATCTACAGATGATATTTAAAAAAACAATATTTTCTGTCACACCCAGACTCGAACTCGAGTTATCGATATAGTTGTGTAGTATTCACTGAGCTACTCCGCTCCTCCTAGAAGTATATTGATATTAATATAAAAAATATATTATTACAATTATAGGGATTTTTAAAAATTAATAGCTAATGTTAATCAATTTTCATTTTTAATTTTCGTTTAAAATAAAATTTAGAGCCTATATTTTAATTGATTCAAATTCAAATATTTCGAAATGCCGATAAGGTAAAATCCCTGTAATAATACACATCTAATTAATAGTTTCATTAATTATAGAATTTCAAATTCCGTTATAAATTAATGATTATTGACGTTATTCAGCCACCAATTTCAATTAGTAACCTACATGCAAATCAATTATGTCATATTATACATTAAAATTACTCTATTCTAATAATTATTATATGGCGGAGCCACTAGCAGTAATAGAAGTGGATGCAACTAAGATAATCCCATTGAAGAAGTCCCTCAACTTTGTTCTATGTATTTTATTAATTAATTTTAACCCCTTTCCTTCCCCCACTCTTTGTCGCTATTCAAATAAAATATAATGAATCTTAAAAAGTTCAACCATTTATAATTTGCCGGCTTTCCGATGCTGCTACGAAATGCTCCTGCATTATTTTCAGTTTGAAACTCGAGCTTTTGTTTGGTCCTGAAAGGAACCACTTTATTAATTATACCCTTTTCTCTTCCTTTTTATATATATACTAAAATTTGTACAATTTGGAAGTTTCCGTTATTTTAAATTAATAAAAAAATATAAAACTGTACTTGCTTCTTAATGAAAAATCTTCCATTAAACTAAATATTAATTAACACATAATATTAATAATTAATATCATACTTATATTGTATATAAGTATATCAAAAACCAAATATATGGTCACTGAGGAAAATCCCAGACCGGGCGAAAGGATTGCCATCAGAGAATCCTCCATTGAAAAAGTGTCGGAATTTATTTATCTCGGACTAGGACATAACTCATGATAATGTTGTAGATTCTGAAATCAATCGAATAGTGCTATGTGCCAATCGTTGTTATTAAGTCCATATTTTAGGAGCCGTTCTTTAACCAGAGGAACAAAAATCCTATTGTATAAAACAATTATCCGACCCATTCTCCTTTATGGCTCAGAAACATGGACTATCTGCATGA